ATCCAAATCCAGAGTTGATTGACCGTGGGCTTTTTAATATGAAAATAATTCAAACAAAATATATAAAACACATAAACAGAGGCCAAGAGTGCAAACTCCGAGAAATACTCGAGTATTAGCCGTATGGCAGTCGACTGATTGGTTTGATTTTCGCCCGCGATTTGTGTCAATCGGAAACACGTCGACGAGAAGAGCTCAAAGAACCAGAGGAATGGCAAAACACCGAGATTGTCATCGATCGACTGTTTGAGCGCCTGTAGGGCCACAAATCGGCGCTGTATCTCACGGTAGCCCAAGTACTGGACCCCCTCCCGGTCCTCCTCCTCCCCGTCCACGGAGTCGCCGATACGACCGCTCGGGTTGTCGTATACGATACGGGCCTGAAGTAAGAGTCGGCGCTCAATCCGATACACACCGAAACATATGTGTGTTAAGAGGAATACCGCCGCCACTAACCATCCAAACCCATGGATCGCCCAAAGGATTTCGCGCACTATAATAGGGGGCGAATCGATGGATAGGCCCACGAATATCACCCCGTCTATGAGCGCAAAGAGCGCCCAAATGCCGACAAAATAGGCGCTCAATCGGGCCATAAATCGCCGATCGCTGGCCGATAGCTGATCGCCAATAGTGTACAGCGTTTGGTTAATTATATCGGACTTATAATGTATTTTAATGTATGTCAACAAAACAATCCACGATTTCAAGTGAAACGAGAATTTGTATAGACTTTTGGATTTTGTTAATACAGCGTAATGAAAGGTAAAGCAAATGAGAAAAAGCATTATGATTACGGTTACGGTCTTTAAGACCATTCGCACAAATCGCTGCACATTTTGTGTTAATTTCTCGTCAAACGCGTGAAAATTAAATCCGTAGATATAGTATATGTGAGCTAATAGGGGCTTATTTATGGCACCAATCATTTTGTGACCACAGTTTATTTATTTATTGCTTGCAGATTTTTATAATTTACTAATTTCACTTTAAATAAAGCATATTGCACCATTTATTTTAATAAATTCTGGTTATTTATATAAATATTAATAGATTGAAATCACTAATAAGTTAGAAATATGTATTGTTATTGCATAATAATAATTTGTATAGTTAACACTTTCTTATAAATATGTAGTTATTTTAATGACCACAATGTCATTAGCATATTATTAACAAAATATATACAGAATATTCTTACTCTTGTATTAATCAACACAACTAAACAGAACCTAAACAAAGGAAATAATTGTTTTGTTTTGATAAAAGTTTGATCTAGCTGTCTTAAAAATCAATATGTTTTGCATATTTTTTAAAGCAATTATTTTCTACATTAATGCAATGCAATAAATAACAAAAACGTTATAATTGTCTCAATAGGGGTACGATTTTGTCACATTTTATAAATAATAAATTACAAGAAAACAATTTATTTTTTGACGTAAAGTCCATAACAATCAAAATAAATACTGTAAACATTAAGATCACCTGATAATACAGTATATTGATTGCAACCTCAGTAAATAATTTATATATATCATTAATAAAATAATATGCTAGTATTAAATGTGTTTAACCATTATATATAATCTGTTCCCACATAAAAAATTTAAATTAACAACATGTTACTTATAAAATATGATACTTATATTACCTAATAAATAAAACTTCATTGTCAAACTACACTATGTAATGAAATTTATAGTTGTTGTACATTTGGTATGTGTGTACATGTGTAGGCTCACTAAAATATAACTTTACATGCAATTAAATTACAATTCAATATAAAACACTTTAATTCAATGCATAATGTTTTTATTATCTATTATTTAATATTACAATAATGAACACAATATAATAACAAATGATACAAAATATTATTATTAATTAAAAAACGTTTGGCAACTCATTATTCTCACAACTCTTTCAATAATTATACAATTAATAAAATTAAAATATGAATTGAGTTATGAAAACATTATTGAAAAATAATTTAAATTATCATTTAAATTAAATTAACACAAAATTAAAGGCATAATAAAAAAATAACATGAAATGCAAAACAACTCATCGCAACAGTTATATAAAACAATTATTAAAAGTAAAGTTACAAGTTAAAGTTACTTTACATTACATTCAAATGGGGGGAAATGTATTATATTTTACATTTGCTTAAATAATCATGATGAGCTATTTATAGTCAACACACGCGCGCTCTCTCAACGCGTGTTTTCAATACATAAAAATCAATATATTTGACACATCTATGTAGAAAAATCATAAAACATCATTCAATCGCTCACAGCTATAATAAAATGCAAAACTAATCATATTTTGCACACAATTTGTTGATCTAAAGTAAAAAAAAAGTCACTAAAAAATCAATTAAAAAAAACTAATCCTAATAACAAAAGGGTCGGTCAATGGGATCAGGACTTTGCGAAGCCTGTGTTTCCCACCCAGGGATAGGTGTGAGGACAGGGTTGACACGTTTTCATAAATCGGGACCCACTCTTGGAGCCCAGGTTACAGACGGTCGGCTGCGCGCACGCCGGCGGCCGATTGGCCAGCATTTGTGGGCCGCACTGCCATTGGCTGGACTTCTGGAGCTCTGCGGCGGGCCGTGGGTTACGGAACCACTGGATGGCCTGCCATTTGGTCATAAAGTAGACGTCTTTGTATTTGAGCAGTTCGTCGATCACCCGAATGAAGCCGCGTTTGTGGTGATCGGTGTTAAACCAGGCCGAGTGGTAGTAGAGGCCAAACGGCGCCCGATTCGACTCGTAGTGTCGTTTGAAGTTTTTCATAATCATCTCAAACACACCGTTTTCATCGGATGGGTTACTACACGCGTCGCCCATTGAGCACCGGCCACCTCTCAGGTCCTGCCACATGACCATGCCGATCTCCCACAAACCTATCATAGTGGATATTAATACAATTAGCTAGGTTATAATTGTTTAATACTAGTCAAAGATCCTGCTCGAGTTAGTATGACCTAAAGTTTTTCATATTATCAATTATACTCAAAATTAAAGTTAAATATTTCAATAAAAGAGTTAAAAAGTGATAAAAATTATGATCTAGATAAGTTGAATGTTTATATAGCATAATTATATGTAATAATTACCCGGGAACGATTTGGTGGGACAGGGAGCGATCATACACTCGTGATTGGAGGCAAAGTCCAGTGTGAAGGGCCAGTACGGCGGGCTGTTCTCAAAAATGGGCATGGTCGAGTCGTAGGTGAAGTTGGCCTCGTATAGCATCTCAAACTGTTTATTACCCCCTCCCTGAAGGAAAGGGGCTCTCATACCGCGGATGTCCTCCATATTGACGCCCCCATACAAGTGCAGTATCTCTCGCTGACCATTGATCTCCTTATGCCACTGGCTTTTGCTGAACCTCTCGCCAAAACTATGCCTATGAATGCAAAATATGGTACATTTATATAAATTATGATCATGTTTAAAGGTGTGATTGCCATATGCTTACGTGACAGAGTGTGAGGCCATTTCGTGGCCCCGGGAGTACAGTGTCTGGACCTGACCGTAATCGGTCCACTCGTGCGACACGTAGAAAGTGGCCCGTATTGGACACCCGTTGGGATTCGTGCGGTGCGGCTGAAACACCTCGTCATAGATGTGCCAATTGATGTCATTGATAGCGTCGTCGAAAGTGATCAGGATGATTTGGGGCATTTGACTCACCGGTATGTTACCTGTATTCATAATAAATGGGTTGAGAAAATAAAACATGGTAAAACAAAATAACAGTTAATGAATTGGCAATAAATACCCGGTATATCAGTGCCGGCGCAGAAACAGTCGGGCAATCGGCAGGACTTTTGATTGCACGCCATTGCCGTCGAGTAGGGTTCGGGCGTCCGGAACACGGGTGGCGGTCGGGACGGGAACGTCTCGTGCCTTACGGACACTATCTCCGGCTGCGGGCCGTAATCGCTGGGCCGTTGACTCAGTGTCCGGGCGTTTGCCGGCGACTGTCGCCGACTATTACTACTGCCCTCATTGATGGCCACGTATGTCGACTCCGGCTTGTGTTGGACTATACGTCGGGGCCTTTCGGTGGTCGTCGTGGTTGTGGTAGTGGTGGTGACCGGCGGTCGCGTTACGGCTACGTATTGGTTCTGATTGGGAACGGGTGATCGACCGCTGGTCCTCGGGTTTGAGTACCTATTGATGGGCGTCTGTTGTGCTGGGGTTTGCTGTATAGCGGGAATGCGTTGAAAGTCTATCGGATCGTCAATCGGTATCTCTTGGACTTGTGTCCGATTGTTGACCACTATATGGATCCGTTGGCGAGACGTGCGGGCGTTGGACCGTTGCTCGGGTACCGCCGCCACCGGGGGCTTAATACTGGGCGGCGGGGCCGACAGCGGTACGTATTGGGTCTGGTGTGTGGTGCGGGGGGCGGGCAAAAATCGATTGCCACCACGATTGTTTGCAGATGTAGGCAGGTTAAAGTGAGTGCGATTGACCACGATGATCTGGTTGTCGCCGCGCGACAGCCCTCGGCGCTGGTTTTGCTTCAACTCGCTGTTGGTCACGGGTTTGTCGTAAACGTTGACCACCTTATCGGCAGTGCCGGCCGAGTCGGAGGCCACGAGTGCGAAGAGATGACTCCCGGGGCCGTCGTTCAGGTGAATGCCTCCGTTTTCATCGATGATGGCCGCTATGGCCTCATCAAAGTTGGGCCCATTCAGGTCGTCCACCGTTACCCTATTGTTTTTGGGCGGATCAGACTGTTTGGCTGAAGGATTGTTACCACTGCCGGCCGGCTCTCGATATGACTGGCCATCGGATGTGCTCGACGTGACAGATGTTACCCGAACTCCAGATACGCTGCGCCCTAAGAAATGTCGCAAAATAGTGATTATTTTTGGTGGTTAATGGCAGTGATTGCGAGACATACCGATCAACTGTTGCCCAAAGCCTCGCTCCTGAGGGTTGAGTACACTTCGGGACCGCTGGAGGTCCAGGAAGTCCTCCTTATTGTCATTATTATTATTGTTGTTATTTCTATTGGTATTTGTGTTGCGATTAGTGTTTGCGTTAAGCAATAGGTTATCAAAACTGTTCTGAAGATTTCGCAGATTATTCTCGTTTTGGTCGTTATTATTGTTTTTAATCTGTTGTCTAATCTCTTCCACGTTATAGTCGTATAGGGAATCGCCGGCAGAGCTGTCACTACCTGTGCCCACACGACCCCCACCCAGACCTCCATCGGAATCGGTGTTGAGATTCTGGGAATTCTTGGATTCTGTATCGGAATCTAAAATGAAAAATCAATTTAATATTAAAATTTAATTTATGAGTTATAGTTTTAATTATAACACATGTAAGTTTTTTTAAAATTAATTTTTATTAATGATTTTAGTTAAATTTTGTGATCAGATAATTATAACATAATTTATATATTTTTTGCTCCATATATTGTAATGCATTTTGTTTATAATTTTTATTACATTTAATGAATGATCGTTAATTTATTTTTACTTTTGATATTTTATAATTCGGCTTATACATAGGTACCGGCTTATCTATGGGAACATTTTACTTTTGATATTTTATAATTCGGCTTATACATGGGTG